GCCCTCGACGTACCCTAGGGTTTAGGGTTTAGGGTCTAGGGTAAAAGCCTAGTTGGAGGTTCATGGATATATATATATATAACCCTAACAGGAAGTCTACTTCCAACCTACTTTAGAGGACTTAGGGCGCTTTTCAGTGCAGTTTTTATTCGGGATACAAGTATATACCCCGAACCTCCAAGTGCAAACCCCAAACCCGAAGACCCCACAGGCCCATACTTCAAGCGTCATTTGAGGGGCCTTCGGGTTCGAAAACTTCGGGTTTCGGGTGCACAGGGGGCTTAAGGTTTAGGGTTTAGGGTTTAGGGTTTAGAGTTTAAGAGGTTTCTACCAGTACCCTAATGCAACCCCAAACCCCCGAGCCCTGAAACTGCAGCGCATTTGTGTGGCGAGGGAGTTCGTCAAAGCCCATATGCTGTCTGCTCTCTAAAGGTCGACATTGTCTCAGGGCCTAAACCCTAAACCCTAAACCCTAAACCCTAAACATGTTTGAGGAGAGGAGGGCATATGAGAGAATGCCTTACGAGCCTGTTCAGGTCTTGTAGGGGGTGGGGATGAATAGGGAGATTCCCCTCCTTCAATATGTGCCCCTTACCTTGTGGACCACATGAACCCAAAATTGGGGTCGCAACCCTATGCTACTACAACCCTATTCAGGTGCATGAACCATAAACCCTTTCGGGGTCCACTTGCTCCCCCACCGGTATAGTCATTGCATCAGGGCATCTTTTCCGCAGTTATTCGTATCGAACCGGAGATGGTCTCCATCTCACAAACGGCTAGGCGATCCAGATACCAAGCTGCACTTCGTGGCAAGCCCAGGCATCGAAGACGCGTGACGGGAAGGGGCGGTCTCCCCCACGATGAGCTCAGTCCTCCCTCTAAACCCTAAACCCTAAACCCTAAACCCTAAACCCGAAACCCCAAACCCAGAATGCACCCTAAACGGGATCATGGTTCACATGCCTTACTGGGGGTTATAGAAGTCTTGGGGTTCATGATTCATATACCTTAGTGGGTTCATAGACCTTAATGGGGGGTTCTAGAAGACTAGGGGATATGATCCCAATTATAGGGTTTAGGGTTTGGGGCTTAGGGTCCCCCAAGGTATCTCTCTTCTGAGAAGAGCCCACCCTTCCGCCAAGATTGAAGAGAGCAACGTGGCTGTACACGTCATGTGCTCTAGACCCAGGAGTAGCCTAGGAATACCCTAAACCCTAAACTCTAACATTGAAAAAACCCCAAAGCCTTTTTTTTAAGGGGGATTAGAAGGGAACCCCAACCCTAAAAAGAAAGGACCTACTCCGGGTCCTAGTGAATGGATTGCGTCTGCAACTCCTTCAGCTGCACAAGGGCATCAACCGGGTTTAGGTTTAGGGTTCAGGGTTCAGGGTTTAGGGTTAACTGGTTCTGGACGTTTATGGGGCTCTGGCTTGGGTCTCTGAGATTTGGGTTTTCAAAACCCTTAACCCTAAACACTAAGCCCTAAACCCCAAGTCCCAAACCCTAAACACCAGCTAGACCCGGGAGTAACCTAGTCATAAAAAGGGGTACCCTAAACAAGGAAAAAAGGGCCTACTCCCGGTCCTAGCCAGTATCATGGACCTTCATGACCTATTTTAGGGCTTTAGGGCTGAGGGTTTATCGGGCTTTGGCCCTGGGGTGCCCTGGACCTCTTTCGGTCAGAGTCAAGGAGTTCTTTTCTGGGATTCTAGAGGGGTGTGGGTTTAAGAGTGCTGGTGTCTGACATGCTCCGTGGTTGCTGGGCAGGACGTGTACAGGGCTCAGGGTTCCGGAGTCCGAGGATTTAGGGTTTAGGGTTCTGGGTTTACTTCGGGCTCAGGGTCTAATGCGGGTTTGCTCAGGAGATAACAAGAAACACGCCCTGGCAGCTGGGATCATTTGCTGGCTGCGATCCGTACGATATTTCTCGGCCCAACACTTTGTAGCCAAGACCACCGCAGCGGGAGCGGGCGCCGAACTGCAAGAGCTCGTTCCATGCTAGGGGCTGAGATCTGCACCATCCCGGAGCCCTATACACCAAAAATCCTAAACCCTAAACCCTAAACCCTTAACCCTGAACCCTAAACCCTAAACCCTATGGAGCCCTCCGCCCCCGAAACCTTCGAGAACTGCCTTTGGCTACATGAAGCTGCTACAAGTACCTGGACAAAACAAACACTTTCGATTGGGTCAAGGATGAAGCGTGCACGTTCCTGAGAAGCCAACCCCCTGGATCCTAAACGAGTCTACAGTTTAGGGTTTAGGGTTTAGGGTTTAGGGTTAGTGCCTCTGGGCTTGCACCTAACCGGCACCGACCTAAGACATACTCCAAACCTAAGACGTGGGCCTTACAACACTGAGCACTCAAGGCTGCTTGGGTCACCATACTATATGGGACTTCATTCACTGCTTAGAGCCGGTTTAGGTTTTGTTAGGCCTTTGGGACCCCAAACCCTAAACCCTAAACCCTAAACCCTAAACCCTAAACCCTAAACCCTAAACCCTGAACCCTATGTTTCTTTTAGTGGTTTGGGGCTTGATCCGCGTGGCTCACGCAGTGGTGCCGTGGGACTAAAGCCTGCTGCACCTAGTCGATTGCGGAAGGGCGCTGGTTGTAAGATGATACGCCGTGTGCGGATCTTTAGGGTTTAGGGTTTAGGGTTTAGGGTTTAGGGTTTAGGGTTTAGGGTTAGGGTTAGGGTTTAGGGTTTAGGGTTTAGGGTTTAGGGTTTAGGGTTTAGGGTTTAGGGTTTAGGGTTTCACTCAAAGGCTCCAATGTAGTTCCTGTTTGGGTTTGGGGTTAGTTATAGAGGATTCTAGTATACTACCCCAAAAATGTACTACATAGGAGCCTTTGGGTATAATACATGCTCATATCTACAAAAACCATTCATACGCAAACGCTCATTCATGTCGGTCGGAAGCCCACATGCTGGTATGCAAGACCTCTCCAGAACCCCACCCTAAATCCAAAATCCTAAACCCTAAACCCCTATAAACCCTAAACCCTGATAAACCCTAAACCTTGTACACCCTAAACCCTAAACCCCTAAACCGAGCCAACCTTCCCGCAATCAGCCGCAGACTCCTACGGAGATGGCCGGGATGCTCTGATCTCAACGGCCAAGCTGATGCAGACTACAGCATGGGATTCGGGCTTAGGGTTTAGGGTTTAGGGCTTAGGGTTGTAGGTTGATAGAGTTGCAATACCTAAAGTATTTGCGTTTGGGCGATTTTGGTTTTAGTCTGGGACGCTCGGGAGACTTCGGGTAGTCCAGGACAGCTCAATCCTAAACCCTATGCTCCTAAACGCCTGAAGCCCCTAAACCCCCTTAACTCCCACACCCTTAACCATCTAGGGTCCCCAGAACCTAAGGAATGCAGGGGGTGTGGCGTTGAGGGTTTAGGGTTCACCATTTAGAGATTCGCCTGACTGATGGGTTTGTAGGGCTCATGGTCTAGGATTTCTTGGCTGCACTTAGCAGGGTAGCTATAAATCTATTTTTTTCGCTGCCTTATTAAGAAACCCAATAAAACCCAAAAGGCTAGATCCCAGTAATAAAGCACCACAGAGGATTTCAGGTTTAGGGAAGGTGTAGGGGCTTAGGGTTTAGGGTTTAGAATTTAGGGTTTAGGGTTTAGGGTTTAGGGTTTAGGGTTTAGGGTTTAGGGTTTAGGGTGGGCTTGCAAGCACCAGAAACACTAGGGCTGGACCGCTGCCAGCCAAGTGCGTGTGGCGCACTCCACAAGGAATCATCACTTCATCCTGCACGTCCCCCAAGCAGCCTCCAAAACTTAGGGGTTTAGGGTTTAGGGTTTAGGGTTTAGGGTCTAGGGTACTTGGGACCCGGTAAAAGTTCAGTTTTAAGCTTGAGGACAGAATTACATATGCTGGCTGCAGGTTCGCCATAGATAACAGCTGGAGCGTACATGCCCGTTCGTCGGATTGGGTTTAGGGTTTAGGGTTTAAGGTTTAGGGTTTAGGACTTAGGGTTTAGGGTTTAGGGTTTAGGGTTGAGGGTTTACGGTTTAGGGTTTAGGGTTTAGGGTTGCAACCACGCCTATTTGAAGTTTAGACCTTGCTACAGTGCCAACCAGCAGCAAGCAAACGCAGAACCAAGAGAAGCATAATCGCTTGCACCAAAATGATTTTGAATGATGCGCATGTTCCGAACAATAGCCCGCAGTGCCTGACTTCGGCAAAGACTTTGATGCAAAACCCGAAATAGCGTCTCTGTACTCTCCAGGCACGTGCAGGACCAATCACGTCATCGCACGTAGAGACATGGAGGAGAACAGCCTCAGTGCGATAGGCAGACAAGGTCTGGGGCTTAAGGTTTAAAATTTATAGGGTCCATGGTTGGCAGATCCTTCTTTTGAAGAGTGTTCACCTCACACTATATTTCTGTTTCCGCCAGTAGCGGCGGCGAGAATGCTGGGCTAGCACGGGCCCCTGGGTCAAAGTTGGCGACATACGGTTTGGAGTGCAACCATTGACCTGCAACCATGCTGGAAAATACAAGACATTGCACTTCGGCTGAAACGCTATCTGCAAACCTATCCACGGAGCCACCTATCCATCGATCAACCTTCCCACCGACCCACCCATTCTTGCAGAGGTGATTGCGTGATGGTACGTACACGCAACGGGACATCGGCATTTGCCGGGGTACCACCCTAAACCCTATAAACCCTAGACCCTAAACCCGAGAAACAATTAGGAATGACCTGCGACGCCCTGAACTCTGTACAGGTATGGAATTACCACTCAAAAGCCCTGTTTGGCATGGCTTCCGGCAGCTAACTCCAGGAAAGTACGACAACTGCACGCTCTGAGTAATTTCGGGGCCTGAATAATTAGAAGAGGGTCTTGGGTTGTTTTGTTTATTTATAAAAAATAGATAAAGGGACCCTAATAGAATACTGTTAGTAATTATTCCCCCTATAATAAGCATGCATGCGTGGCGAAGATCTCGCCGAGCGGCACCGACTCGCGCTCAAATGCGGACCATTGCGTGGCGGTTGGCACGGGCCTCTGACACACAACAAGGGCACAGGACATGTTTTTCGGAATTTCACAAAAAAGGCAGAAAGTCCCCTAAACCCTAAACCCTAGACCCTAGACCCTAAACCCTAAGCCAGTAAACCCTAAACCCTAAACCCTAAACCCTAAACCCTAAACCCTAAACCCTAAACCCTAAACCCTAACCTTGAAACCCTAAACCCTAAACCCTAGACCCGAAACCCTCAAAACGATGCCAGGAATCTGGGGCCCTTGACAAAATACTCATCAGAAGATTCCAAGCCCGAAAGGGTTTAGGGTTTAGGGTTCAGGGTTTAGGGTTTAGGGTTTAGGGTTTAGGGGTTTGGGGCCGCAACTCAAGCTCCCGAACCCTGCCTAGACGCTTCTTTGAGCTTCGATTTTTAGCGCTCTAATTCGCCCGGAGCCCTTCCAGGTCTGGGTTGATCTTAAAAGATGCACCCTTCTTGGGCTAGACCCAAGAGTAACCTAGTAAAAAACAAGGGTTTAGGGTTTTAGGGTTTAGGGTTTAGGGTTTAGAGTTTAGGGTTTAGGGTTTAGGGTTTGAACGGGCTTGTATGGGAACCAAAACCCCAAATCAAGGGCATAAGGGCGTACTCTGGGTCCTAGTTAGTTCGTGTCCGTTCTGAAGTACGCTCCTACATTCTAAGGCACCCAAAAAAGAGCGACCCCTTATAAACCCTCTTTTTACCCTATGCAACCCAAGGGCCCATACCTCAGAACCCTTCAAAAGAAGGTAAGGGACCATACTAAGTTAAGGGCCCATGAAACGACCCTCAGAAAGATACCCATGGAAGGCCAGTATGAATCCCAAACCCTCACAGCCGAAACCCCTACACCCTCGAAGTCTTGAACCTTCACCCTAAACCCCTGAAGCCCCAAAACAACCCGAACCCCTTAAGCCTCTAAAAGCATACAGCCCAGACAAAAGCCCGAAACAAAAACTTCAGCCCTAAACCCTTTCAACTCTCAAAAAACCCTTAAACAACCCGACCCTGAACCCTACCTAAACCCTGAACCCCAAACACCAAACCCTAAACCCTAAACCCTACACCCCAAACCCTCAACCCCAAACCCCAAGCCCCAAACCCTAAACCCCAAACCCTAAATCATAAACCCTAAGCCCCGGTTGAGTTTCCCCGCGTCCAGCTCCAACTCTAGGTCGAGCTCCAGGTCTTCGTGGGACTTGTTCTGCGTCGCGAGTCGGGGGTTCAGGTTTAGGGTTTAGGGTTTAGGGTTTAGGGTTTAGGGTTTAGGGTTTAGGGTTTAGGGTTTAGGGTTTAGGGTTTAGGGTTTAGGGGTTAGGGCTTAGGGCTTAGGGCTTAGGGCTTAGGGCTTCGGGCTTTACAGGGTTTATGGGGCTTCCAGGGTTTTTTTCGTGCAATAAGTGCTTGTTTGCGTTCAGCCTTGAGGCTTTATGGCGTAGAGGGCTTGTAGGGCTCATAAGAGTTTCAGTGCCTCAGGTGCTTTCTAGGGTTTCTAGGTGCCTTTTGGTGCTTTTTTTTTGGGTTTGTAGTTCTGCGACAACGTGCAAGAGGCCAAATCCCGAACAACAGAAAAGACTGGCTGGTTCCCAGGGAATGAGGGAATGAGGTGCCCTAACTAATCCCTTAAGAAATCTACCCCTAAACCCTAAACCCTAAACCCTAAACCCTAAACCCTAAACCCTAAACCCTAAACCCTAAACCCGCCTAAACCCTAAACCCTAAACCCTGAACCCCAATTCCCTCATTCCCTACGAAGAACCAGGTGGAAGAGGTCAGGGCTCGGGGGTGGCTGAGGGAAGGAGAGCGGAAAATTTAGTATCTAGCCAGGCTACCCCCCAACAACCCCACTCAAACCCCAAACCCTATACGCCCTCTGCAGAGCAAGTTATCAAACCCTAAACCCTAAACCCTAAACCCTAAACCCTAAACCCTAAACCCTAAACCCTAAACCCTAAACCCTAAACCCTAAACCCTAAACAAAGCTCCGGCCTCCCAGGCCCACATGAAGCTCAGGTAGTGCTGGTGCAGTTTTCGTGCATCGATGACCTCGGCACCCCAGGGTTTAGGGTTTAGGGTTTAGGGTTTAGGGTTTAGGGTTTGGGGTTTGGGGTTTGGGGTTTGGGGTTCAGGGTTCAGGGTTTGGGGTTCAGGGCTTGGGGTTCAGGGCATTTAGGGCTTACAAGGTGTGGAGTCGTCGAGCTTAGGGTTTAAGGTCTGTAGAATTTAGGGCGATTCTGCTATGGTCCGTTCCTGCTAGCTTGGCGAAGCAAACAACCCTCTGGCTCTTAATTCGTAGGGAATGAGGGAATGGTACCCTAATCCCTTAAAGGGTATATGCAGGGCCCTAATTCCCTCATTCCCTACTAAGAACCCCCCCAGACAAAAGGCGACAGTGTAAACCCTAGACTCTGACTAGGTCAAGCCCCGCATTAAGGTTTAGGTTTTTTGAGGTTTAGGGAGTTTTGTTTGTCTGGCATAGCGCAACTCCCCTGAGGGGACCGTTGCATACTACTGCTGTTCCTCAGGGATAGACAAAAGGAAGTTGAGACCCGCTTCGAAAGCATCAAACCCGGTCACTGCACTTGGAACCCACCAAAAACTATAATTGCTGCTGTGTCTTAGGACTCATAATGCCTAAACAGTAAAAGCTCTTTCCAAGTACCCGTAAACCCTAAACCCTAAACCCTAAACCCTAAACCCCGAACCCCAAACCCTCAGAAGATGGGGAGGGCATCCGGCGCAACGTTTGCCCCTCGGAGGCCCCCGCGGAGCCCGCATGCGTAGCGAGGCCTTTCGCACCGTCCTCCGGCAAACTCCCTCTAAACTGGGGTTTAGGGTTTAGGGTTTAGGGTTTAGGGTTTAGGGTTTAGGGTTTAGGGTGTAGGGTTAAACTCGGAGACTTAGGCTTGCAGGGAGGGGCCTAGCAAGGTTGCGATGTTTTTGGTTAGGGGGTTATAGTGCTTCCAGTCTATAAGCCTTGATGATGAAGCTGGCTTGAGGTATAGCTGCGCGTTTGGATCTAGGGTGAACCGCGAACTTATGTGTTTGTCTACACACACACCCATGGACATATATGTATATATATATGTGAGAGGGACCTTTTGGGTCCATTTCACGTATATCACTTGTATGAGGAATTTAATTTATTTACCTATTAATTTCTTTAATTTCTTTAATTTCTGGGGCTCTCTTAGGGAAATAAATGAAATTAAAGAAATTAATTAATTTCATTAATTTCTTTAATTTCTGGGCCTCTCTGTGCGAAATTAAAGAAATTAATGAAATTAATTAATTTCTTTAATTTCATTAATTTCTTTAATTTATTTTAATTAGTCCCGTGAGCCGGGGGGGCTCCCCCAATTAATTTCTTTAATTTCTTTAATTTCTGGGCCTCTCTGTGAGAAATTAAAGAAATTAATTCCGGTAGCCCTTCGGGCTTGCGAGACTAATTAAAAGAAATTAATGAAATTAAAGAAATTAAAGAAATTAAAGAAATTAAAGAAATTAATGAAATTAATTAATTTCTTTAATTTCTTTAATTTCTGGGCCTCTCTGTGAGAAATTAAAGAAATTAAAGAAATTAATTAATTTCATTAATTTCTTTAATTTCTGGGCCTCCCTGTGAGAAATTAAAGAAATTACAGAAATTAATTAATTTCATTAATTTCTTTAATTCTCTGTGCGAAATTAAAGAAATTAAAGAAACTAATTAATTTCTTTAATTTCATTAATTTCATTAATTTCTTTAATTTATTTTAATTAGTCCCGTGAGCCGGGGGGGCTACCCCAATTAATTTCTTTAATTTCTTTAATTTCTGGGCCTCTCTGTGAGAAATTAAAGAAATTAAAGAAATTAATTCAGGTAGCCCTTCGGGCTTGCGAGACTAATTAAAAGAAATTAAAGAAATTAAAGAAATTAAAGAAATTAATGAAATTAATTAATTTCTTTAATTTCTTTAATTTCTGGGCCTCTCTGTGAGAAATTAAAGAAATTAAAGAAATTAATTAATTTCATTAATTTCTTTAATTTCCGGGCCTCTCTGTGAGAAATTAAAGAAATTAAAGAAATTAAATAATTTCATTAATTTCTTTAATTTCTGGGCCTCTCTGTGCGAAATTAAAGAAATTAAAGAAATTAATTAATTTCTTTAATTTCATTAATTTCATTAATTTCTTTAATTTATTTTAATTAGTCCCGTGAGCCGGGGGGCCCCCAATTAATTTCTTTAATTTCTTTAATTTCTGGGCCTCTCTGTGAGAAATTAAAGAAATTAAAGAAATTAATTCCGGTAGCCCTTCGGGCTTGCGAGACAAATTAAAAGAAATTAAAGAAATTAAAGAAATTAAAGAAATTAATGAAATTAATTAATTTCTTTAATTTCTTTAATTTCTGGGCCTCTCTGTGAGAAATTAAAGAAATTAAAGAAATTAATTAATTTCATTAATTTCTTTAATTTCTGGGCCTCTCTGTGCGAAATTAAAGAAATTAAAGAAATTAATTAATTTCTTTAATTTCTTTAATTTCTGGGCCTCTCTGTGCGAAATTAAAGAAATTAAAGAAATTAATTAATTTCTTTAATTTCATTAATTTCATTAATTTCTTTACTTTATTTTAATTAGTCCCGTGAGCCGGGGGGGCCCCCCCAATTAATTTCTTTAATTTCTTTAATTTCTGTGCCTCTCTGTGAGAAATTAAAGAAATTAAAGAAATTAATTCCGGTAGCCCTTCGGGCTTGCGAGACTAATTAAAAGAAATTAAAGAAATTAAAGAAATTAAAGAAATTAATGAAATTAATTAATTTCTTTAATTTCTTTAATTTCTGGGACTCTCTGTGAGAAATTAAAGAAATTAAAGAAATTAATTAATTTCATTAATTTCTTTAATTTCTGGGCCTCTCTGTGAGAAATTAAAGAAATTAAAGAAATTACTTAATTTCATTAATTTCTTTAATTTCTGGGCCTCTCTGTGCGAAATTAAAGAAATTAAAGAAATTAATTAATTTCTTTAATTTCATTAATTTCATTAATTTCTTTAATTTATTTTAATTAGTCCCGTGAGCCGGGGGGGCCCCCCCAATTAATTTCTTTAATTTCTTTAATTTCTGGGCCTCTCTGTGAAAAATTAAAGAAATTAAAGAAATTAATTAATTTCATTAATTTCTTTAATTTCGGGGCCTCTCTGTGAGAAATTAAAGAAATTAAAAGAAATTAATTAATTTCATTAATTTCTGTAATTTCTGGGCCTCTCTGTGCGAAATTAAAGAAATTAAAGAAATCAATTAATTTCTTTAATTTCATTAATTTCATTAATTTTTGTTTTTTTTTTTCTTTTTTGTGTTGTGTTGTTTTTTAAGTTTTTAATAGTCCCGGTGAGCGGGGTGGGGCCCCCCAATTAAGTCCTTGAATTTCTTTAATTTGTGGCCCTCTGTGAGAAATTAAAGCAATTAAAGAATTAATAATTGCATAATTTCTTTTTTTTTTTGTGGCTTTTTTTTTTGTAATTTCTGGCCTCGCCGTGAGAAATTAACGAAATTAAATAATTTCATTATTCTTTTTTAATTTTCTGGGCCTCTCTGTGCGAATAAGAAATAAAGAAAATTACTTAAGTTTCTTTATCATTAATTTATTAATTTCTTTAATTATTTAATTAGTCCCGTGAGCCGGGGGGGGGCCCCCAATTAATTTCTTTAATTTCTTTAATTTCTGGGCCTCTCTGTGAGAAATTAAAGAAATTAAAGAAATTAATTAATTTCATTAATTTCTTTAATTTCTGGGCCTCTCCGTGAGAAATTAAAGAAATTAAATAATTTCATTAATTTCTTTAATTTCGGGGCCTCTCTGTGCGAAATTAAAGAAATTAAAGAAATTAATTAATTTCTTTAATTTCATTAATTTCTTTAATTTATTTAAATTAGTCCCGTGAGCCGGGGGGGCTCCCCCAATTAATTTCTTTAATTTCTTTAATTTCTGGGCCTCTCTGTGAATTCGCTGCTTCCAAAAGCATCGCAAATACCATGGTCCCCGAATTCGCTGTTTCCAAAACCATCGCAAGGAGCTTCCGTGGCTGGTTCCCAAAGCATCGCAAATACCATGGTCCCCGAATTCGCTGGTTCCAAACCATGGCAAATACCATGGTCCCCGAATTCGCTGTTTCCAAAACCATCGCAAATACCATGGTCCCCGAATTCGCTGTTTCCAAAACCATCGCAAATACCATGGTCCCCGAATTCGCTGGTTCCAAAAGCATCGCAAATACCATGGTCCCCGAATTCGCTGCTTCCAAAAGCATCGCAAATGCCATGGTCCCCGAATTCGCTGGCTCCAAAAGCATCGCAAATACCATGGTCCCCGAATTCGCTGGTTCCAAACCATGACAAATACCATGGTCCCCGAATTCGCTGGTTCCAAAACCATCGCAAATACCATGGTTAATGATTTCGCAAAATCACATGGTGCTCCAATGCCGAGCGTGCGAAAACATCGCAAATTTCATTGTTATTTAATTCCCGGCGTGCGAAACTCACTTCGGTCAGATTTCACTGTGCTTCTCTGCTCTTTGAAGCTCCAAGGTCTTCTTGCCAACCTCGCTCTTCTGTCCTTTTTTCTTTGAAAGGCGCTCTGGAGTGTGAGCTTGGACTTCAGAGCGACTGCCGATGATGCTCATGGCTGACGGCTCTCGCGTTAGATGTTTTTGTCTTTTCTTTCATAGCATCGCGTTGACAGGACGTGCGCAGCCGAGTCGGGTGCATGCAAGTGAAGTTCATACAGTTCAAGTCCGTTTACTTCAGATCTATTGAATGCCAATGAAGTGTATAGAGTTGACCACAAGTGCATGGCATTCAACTCAACACACTTGAGTGCCATGCAGTTCGAGTGCATACACGTCCAGTATACAAGTGCAGTATACAAGTGAGTATGCAACCATATAAGTGCATACACTTAAGTGCATACACTTGTCCAAGTGCATACAGTTCGAGCGCACAGAGTCAAGTGCATAGACTCAACGCACCGCAAATCGATGCTTTCGGGCCAATCGTCTTCTAGTTTAAATTAGTCCCGTGAGCCGGGTGGGCTCCCCCAATTAATTTCTTTAATTTCTTTAATTTCTGGGTCTCTCTGTGAGAAATTAAAGAAATTAAAGAAATAAAAAAGAAATTAAAGAAATTAATTCAGGCAGCCGTTCGGGCTTGCGAGACTAATTAAACGAAATTACAGAAAGTAAAGAAATTCAAGAAATTGAGGGAGTTAAAGAAATTAAAGGTTTTCAGAAATTCAAACAATAAAGAAATCAAAGAAATTAAAGAAATTAATGAAATTCATGAAACTAATTCCGGCAGCTGTTCGGGCTTGCGAGATTAATGAAAACAAATTAAAGAAATTCACAATTCATTAATTTCCGTAACTTCTTCCTGTCTGTGAGAAAAACAAGAAATGCAAGAAGTTAATTCCGGTAGTCGTTCGGGCTTACCAAAAGCAAAGGAGAATCACGTCCCATTGAAAGATAGACGAGTTGTGTCTTTGTACGTTGCGAGGTGGGGGAGCTCTTTCACAAGAGGTAGGTAGAGGACTTTCTCATGTCCGGCAAAGAGATAGAGACGATCTTTCATGACCCGCTACGAGATAGAGGAGCCTCTTTCATGTAAAGGGTAGGAAACGGTAGAGCTGCGAGCTCGTCTACCCATTGACGGGAAATGAGCAAGACAGGACATTAGAGTGCTCTTGTAGCTTGTATGAGTGAATTCTTGTCATTGAAAAAGGGGAGCTCTTTCGCAAGCGGTAAAGTAGAGAACTCTCTCATTTGCT